ATGCATTTATAAATGTATATAAATGCACTTATAACTATTTATAAATGCACTTATAACTGTATACAAATGCACTTATAAATGCACTTATAACTTATATCTAAACGCCTTGCCGAATTAACCAAAGAATTTTTATAATCTCTTCAAAGATTAGTAAAATTGAATGTTCTAACATTAAGTGCAATATCTGTCTGCTTACTTTATGCTAACTTTATAACTCGACTTTTGCTGACTTTCATTCTAATATACATCGTTTCTTCATAAGTTAGGATTTTTTTTTCTAGTGAGCTAAAATTGTCTTCGCGGACCTTGGTATGTAGCCTTATATGGCAATTAGCCGGAGGAGAATAAACCACATGACTATAAATCTATTTTAAAAAGTGTTACCTAAAAAACCAATTAAAATCTATTAAACCTAATAAACCTATTTGAAAAATATATACATTCAAAGTTTAATGCAATAATATTTGACTGATTACACATTCTAACATCCAGTTTTATCCCAGTAAGTAAAGATCGTTTTAAAAATGTTTAAAAAACGTTTAAATCCGTTTTAATTTTAAACGCTTTAAAAACATTCTGTGCTTAGTGGGATGTCTGTATATTTAGTGCGATGTCCGCTTTTCGTTCACAACACAAACTAACACAACTACTTCCTTAAACGTAAGTTTAAAGATGAATGTGTTTCTTTTTCAATCACTCGAGTTTGGTTTTTAATTGATAAGTTACCAAACTTAATGCTAGTGAATTCACTTTTTAGTCTTGGTGAAAGTTTTTTTTATAATGCTTAAGGTGGCACACAACTGAAAACAAGTTTTTTTGTAAATAATCAAAATTTTGATTTTTTTTTTTTTTAATGACAATTAATTTATATCAAAATAAAATAAAAAACAGATAATTTTTTTTTTAATTAATTTTATCATCCATAATGGCCAAAAATGTGTTGTAAAACATGTGTTTTTAGTAAATCTTCAAAACCTAATAACTTAAGTTTGCCTTAACAACTGAAACTAAAATTTTGAACATAGCTTCCTAATCATATTTCACCCTGCTTGACCGTGGGAATTTTTATGATTTAAATTATTTCATGAAATATTGCATTTCTAACAAAATCACCTAATATATATATGAAATATCAATAAATCCAGCACTATAAACATCAATATTTCACTTTCTATAAATTTTTATGAAAATTCTGAGGGTTAAATGAAGTTTTATATTATGATAAACAAATCCTGAAAATTTTATTATGTAATTCTGTTTTGTTAATGAGAAAATGTGTTTCAAAGTTTAAAAAAATACATATTGAGAAAAAAGCAAAAAATAAGAAAAAAATATATAAGAACATAAAAATTATCAAAATCCACCAGAGATGTAACTATCAGTTGTTTCATTTATTTGCTGATCGTCTATGAAACCTTTTTTAACTGCTCTTATTTTTTTTCTCAGCATTTTACTTTTATCAGTTGACTTTGACTTCATATGTCGAATTCTGGTTTTGTCAACTTTACTTGACGAAGCTAATGTAACAATTCCATTCAAGCCAAAGTATTTTAAAACTTCTAATACACCATTAGCACCATCATTATAATGCAGCACTGCTGAGTATGTTCCCATTTCAATTGTAGACTTACTAACAAATGTGTGCTTTGGTACGCGAGACCAAATAATAGAATTTAATGCTTCATTGGCATTTTGCGTCGTTCCATGCAAACATTTAATTAGAAGATCATCAGCCTGAAGATCCTTGATGATTGGTAAAATAAGATTCTTAATCCATATAGGTATACATGATTTTGATTTGTAATTTGTATTATTTAGAGCCCAATATTTGCACCAACTTGTCAATCCTCTTGGGCAAAACTGATGTTGCATTTGCTGGTTTTCAAAGTTGGTAAAATGAAATAAAATAGCATAAACTGCCTTTTTCATAGCATACAAGTTGTTGACATTTTGACGAATGGCCATGCCATAATAGTTTTGCATAGAATTTATACATTTTTCTGTTAGGTTACCTCTACCTGATAAAGGTGTTTTAGTGCCTTTGTGTGCTTTGACTAAATTTCTAAGTATACCCAATCTTTTTTGTACATGACCTACACATTCAAGTTTTATTGGAGTGATGTCAAAATCCTGGTAAGGGTTTGAGTTTTTGACATCTTTGAATGAAGAAGTGTCTCCATCACCTAGAAACTCTTTATAAATTACATTATTTTTTTTAACCGAACGATTAAAAATTGTTACTGCTCCTGCAGACTCCATACTTCCAGACGAAGATTTGTGATTTATTTCACATTGACGGTCAATTATCCAACACTGATATTCTGGAGTTCCTTTTTTACTGTTCCACATTTTACAACCCATGCAGTATTTAGACAAAACTTCAATATCAATGCATTTATCACCAGAAATCGCAGTAACTACACCGTGCAATGAATTGTGACCGCATTTCTGCCATGTACCATCGATTGAAACTCTTACACATGGTATATCCTGAGCAATGTCAACTTTTTTAGAGTCCTTAATCGCTAATAACATACTTTTCTCTGAAGCACTTTTATAAGCTACCATAATAGTTTTGTTTAATTTTTGAAATCCATTTTCAGATATACATTTTAAGTTCATGCAAGATGAAAACGTTTTTATAGCTCCATAACCACAGCCTACTTCTCGAAAAGCTATTATTGCACGAATATTAACATCATATGGTGAGTTAGCTGTTGCTGCATCAAATTTAGCATTTATTGATTTGTTTGATGAATTGAATCTTTTAACATAATCACAGTGTTCACATTTTAATTGAAACAAATGTGCAAATCCTTTTCTACTGGAATCAACATCTGTTAAAAGTAATGGCTGAAAGCAGTTGTTACATGCAGTTTTAGCTATTAGTTCTTTAAGAATTGAAAAATTAATAAAAACAAAATAGTTATCTTTTTCAGAATCAAATGTATTCGAGTAGTTGAGTTTGATTTTTCTTTCACTAGAACAGCTACTTGCTGCTTGAGTTGTGGACGATGTCATCGTCGATGATAAGATGTAAGAAGAAGATGATTTTTTATTTCCAACAACACCATTCCATTTTCGTTTTATCCTTCTTGATAAATTTTTTTTAGTTTTATTTCCTTGTTTATTCATTTAAAAATAACTTTATTCCAACTAAATTGAAATCACTTTTTAAATTATTTGGTATAAAATGAGAGAAAAGTTACAGTTTAAAAGACTAACATTAACAGATTAAAAACACTCTTGTTCTTAAATAAAATTTTGAATTATGACTTTTAAAACGGAGAACTAACAAGAGTCTGCGTATAACAAATTAAAACCAAGTTTGTGGTGGTGTTTTACTGATTTGAATTTAGAAAAACTCCTATGACTGATGGTTGCTAAGGCGTTGTTAGGCAATTTATTTTCAAGTGTCATCTACTAAAATGATATTAAATCAACTTTTATATCATTTTTGAGACTAATTTTTTTTTTATATGTTCAAGGAATGGTTATAGAATCAAAATACCCAAAAATCTAAAAATTGATTTTTTTTAAAAAACTTGCTTTTTTTCAGTTGTGTGCCACCTTAACTTATCTTAACTTTGTATTTATACCTGAGTATTTTTAGATAAAATATGTTAATCAATGATATTATTGTTTTATGCCTAATTTGGTTTAATTTGCAGGGTTTTTCAAGACCTGCAATCATAAAAAATGTTGCATTAAAATTTTTAACAATTTCTGAAAATAGATATACTAACAAAAACAATTTAAAAAATAATAATTTTTAATATATATTTTGCCGCTATTCTATTTGATTTTATAGAAATAAAAATGTTTAAAATAAATTAAACGTTTTATAAAAAAAGTTCCAACATCAAAATAAAACTTTAGGCAAATTTGCTCAACTTCCAAGTTTTTATATAAACATTGAAGTTTGCTGTAAAAGTTTTTTAAAAGTTCGTTGGGTTTGGAAAAAAATCACCAGAAGACCTGTATCCGACAGTAATAGCAAATAAGTTGAAAAAGATAGTCAAAATAAAATTTTATGCGGGCTAGTGTTTTTTTATTTCCGCAAAAAACTAAATACAATTATTTTAAAATACGTCATTTTTTATTTACTTTTTACGACGCTTAATTCGTTTATTTTACTCTCAGATAAAAGATTTTAAATAAATATTTCAATGAGTTTTTGTTGAATGTTTTAAAAATTCTTGTAAATCAATCAATTTTATTTTAGTTATATAATTTGATGATTATTTTCAATAAGTCAAGAATAAAAGAAGCAGGATAAAATAGCAAGCAATATTCGCAAATAATATGTTTTTTTTCCCGTTAATAGTACTATTAACACCCCCATTTATTGATTGCTCAGAATTTTTGAGAATTTTTGAATATTTGAAAGAACTTGTGATATAAACACATTTTAATAAGCAATTTAAATTTTTGTTTAACTTAAAATTTGGGTCATCTTAAGAATTCTTATATTTAATGCATGGTTTTTTATTTAAATTTGACGCTCTTTTGTTAAGAAGTTATTTTGTGGATAAAAAAAAAAAAAAAAAAAAAAAAAAATTGGAAGAGCATTATAAAATGGAAAAAGCTTTTAAATTATTAAAACTTTTTTTATTAAACGCTCAAGTTTTTACAGTTTGTAAAATATAAACTGCAATTTATTATTTTACCCAAGTCTATTTCATAAAGGAGCTTGGTGATAAAAAAAAAAGTTTGTTTCAGTTAGATTGTATAGTATATATGTAACAACATTAATGATAACATTGTAAAGTTTATATACATTGACAAATATTTAAAATTTATGTAACGTGAATAACCCAGCAAACTTAATTTTGTCGTCAACCGAGACGTTTACGTCTTACGTTAGGTTTCGAACAGACGTCTCTTAAGGTCTGTAAGCGTCTGTAGAAGACTGCGTAAATACGCTCGGTTGAGCTCTAAGTGAAAATCTACCTTTATTAAATAACAAAATAACAAATCGCGTCTTGCCTCTGCAGGAATTTACTTTCTCTCTTTAATACATGTAAATAATAGCTTGTTATTTTAAAGTAAAACTGAAATACAATTAATTCAGTTATTTAAACAATTTTTAATTTGAATATTTTTTGTTTTACTTTAATACATTTATTATTTCTGTAAAGATTTTGTCACGGAATGATCGTTTCATTGTGGAGTACCTTAACAAAATGTTCTACTAGAATTGTTGTATAATTTGTACAACAAAAATTAGCTAGACTTTATATAATTTACTACGTATTGTTACTAGATCAAAATTAATTTTTACATCTATTAATAATTATAACATATACAATGTTATTATTATGTTTTCTACATAATTTGTGTAACAAGTACAATTTTATGTCTCAAATTTACTGTTGATATAATTTTTGATAAACTGGAATATTTAAGTATTCTAAAAAGCAATCATTCTACTATTTTTGTTTCAAAACAGTTTCAAAAAAATTAAAAAAGTGTGTAGAGTATTTTTTATAACACAATCAACCAATATTACTTATATTTTTTGAGGTTCTTAAAAAAATAAAATTTATTTGCAATAAAAAGAAATCATAAAAAAATAGGACTAGTAAAGATTAGAAAAAAATCATTAAATATATGCAAACTTATTGTATTAATAAATCTTATGCAACACTTTTAAAATGCAGCATTATTTCATAAAATAATGCTGCATTTTATTTCGTAAAATAAAAATCTCTTAGTAACTAATTTCAATCATTCTTTTAAATAATAAACATTTATATATAAAAATGTAAACATTGAGAAAAAGTTAAGAAAAAATAGTTTACTCCTAAAAATATTTTTACATATATATATATATATATATATATATATATATATATATATATATATATATATATATATATATATATATATATATAATAAATTTACTCATAAACTTAACTAATATTTAAAGTTTTAAAAAATAATGCACACATCAAATATTTTTATATGACAAAATTTATCATGAATAGATGCCACTGTTTTCAAAAAAAGAGAAAAAGTCACCAAAAAAGGACACCAACACCTTAACAGAAGAAGATGAGGAAAAAATAAAACAAATACAAGAAGATTCCCGTGCACATGTTAAACAACTTTCCTTTAGTGTACAGCTTGCTCATGGTAGTCCAACAGCAAAGATATCAAATTTTTCAAGTGTAAAAGAATTATATCAGAAGATTGCAGAAGGTTTAAATATTACAATGCAAGATGTATGTATTTTAATTGAAAAATATATTTTAATTTTAGACCTCAGATAAAAGATTCTTATAATGTTATTATTTAAGCGCCAAATGTGTAGTTTTTATAAAAAATTTTTTTAGATAATGTATTGCACTTTGAATAGTCCTAAAGTAGACATGGAAAAACTACTTGGTGGACAAATTGGATTGCAAGACTTAATCTTTGTTCATTGTAAAGGTGCTTCTAAAAATGTTACTCTTTTCAAAGATGCACCAACCTTAGGCCTAACTATAACGGATAATGGAAACGGTTTTGCTTTCATTAAGAGGGTGAAAAATGATAGTGTTGCATCTCGTTATTCAAATATTTATGTTGGGGACCATATTGAAGAAATCAATGGTGAGAATGTTGTAGGTATCCGTCATTTTGAAGTGGCTAAAATTCTTCGTGAAATAAATGAGGGAGATGAGTTTTCACTTAAATTGTGTGAACCAATCAGAGGCGGTTTTGGTAAATCTATGTTAATTTATTACATAAAGTTAATCTATTACATAAAGTACTACATCTAGTAAGTAATAATAGTCTAGTAAAAATACAACTACCTACTTACCAGACTACTTGTAGTCTAGTAAGTATAAAATCTATTTACTTACTAATCTAGCTAATAAAGTGAAATTTTTCTTTTACTTTACATAAGTTTGCATAAATATTAAAAGCGTTCACTGCATAAAAAACTCCTTGCATTTTCTAGATTTATTTGCTCTAAGGTTTTATACTTAATATTAGTTTAAGTTTTAAAAATGGATAAACAATTTTATAGCCCACTTGGATGATATAGAATTTACAGATAGGATAGTAACAACCCATTAAGATTACATCATATTTGCAGATAATATAGAAATGAATTATGCTTGATGTGATAATGAATTTTAGCAGTTTAATTTATATATACTCTTATACTTCAAATATACAAAAATATATAAATTAAGACGTTCAATTTTAATTTTTTTTTAGTTATATAGATATTTTACCAATTTTATTTTAGAAAATTTTTTTTTTTCTGTGATCTTCACAATTTTTTTGTTTAAAACAATCATTTTTTAAAAAAATAGTTGTGAAGAAATAAATAGTTGTGAAGAAATAAATAGTTGTGAAGAAAAAAATAGTTGTGAAGAAATAAATAGTTGTGAAGAAAAAAATAGTTGTGAAGAAAAAAATAGTTGTGAAGAAATAAATAGTTGTGAAGAAATAAATAGTTGTGAAGAAATAAATAGTTGTGAAGAAATAAATAGTTGTGAAGAAAAAAATAGTTGTGAAGAAATAAATAGTTGTGAAGAAATAAATAGTTGTGAAGAAATAAATAGTCGTGAAGAAATAAATAGTTGTGAAGAAATAAATAGTTGTGAAGAAATAAATAGTTGTGAAGAAATAAATAGTTGTGAAGAAATAAATAGTTGTGAAGAAATAAATAGTTGTGAAGAAATAAATAGTTGTGAAGAAATAAATAGTTGTGAAGAAATAAATAGTTGTGAAGAAATAAATAGTTGTGAAGAAATAAATAGTTGTGAAGAAATAAATAGTTGTGAAGAAATAAATAGTTGTGAAGAAATAAATAGTTGTGAAGAAATAAATAGTTGTGAAGAAATAAATAGTTGTGAAGAAATAAATAGTTGTGAAGAAATAAATAGTTGTGAAGAAATAAATAGTTGTGAAGAAATGTTGTGAAAGTATTACTCTGATTTTTAAAAATGAGCTTCAAAATCTCCTTAATAATTATTATAGACAAAAAAACAACTAAAAAACTAAAGTTAAATATTTTTTTTCTAATTAAAATGTATAATGCTATATAATTATATAGTTTATAATAATTATATAATTAATGAAGAGTATTTTTGCAATAAACTCTAATAGAGTATTTTCACAATAAATTCTAACAAAATAATACAGTAGCATGCAAAAGTAACCGGAAAAGAGCATAACTTTAGATAACTTTTGAATGAAAAGTCAAATTTCTTTTAAATTTTCAATGAAATATCAAAAAAATGATTGCAAGTCTAAAAACAAATGAATTTTTACTAAATCTAAGCAATCTAATCTTAAAAGTTCATTTAATTAAAATTTGCGTGAGCAAAAGTATCCTAACAGGAATAAAAAATTTGAATAAGATTTTTTTTTTTTAATTTTTAAAATTGAAAATGCTTTATTTTAAAGTATATCTCTTTAGTACTTTGTCAGGAAGCCCTTATCATTAATTACTGCTTGACAGTGACAAGGCATTGAGTCCACCAGCTTCATAATCAAAATAATTTCGATTTTCCCCCATTCTTGTTTCAGAATATTCAATAAATCAAATTTACTTGTTGGTTTTCCACCTGAAATTTGTCAATCTATGTGTTCCTATAAATGTTTAATAGAATTAAGGTTAAGACTTTGTATGTCCATTCCATTTATTGATTTTTTTTGTTTTTGAAAAAGTCTTTTACAAGGATTTAAGTGTCTTTTGGGTCATTGTTCTGCTAAAATATCCATCCTCGAGGCATTTTGTCTTTAGCATGTGGTAGCATAACATCCTTAACTATATCTTTGTGCATTTTTTTGTTCATTTTGCCATCAATAAAATGGATAAGACCAAAACAATTTTTTATTCAAGTTAACCCAGTTCATAACATTTCAACCTCTGTGCTTTACTGTTGGTAGCTGGTATTTATGATCGTTTTTATGGCCTTTTGGTCAACGAACATATCTTATATTATCAGATCCAAATAACATAAACTTAAATTCATCACTAAAAAGTACTTTCAATCACTGTTCTGTTGCCCAATTCAAATGTTCATTAGCAAATTTTAAGCATGCTTTAATGCTTCCAATACGATATCATTTTTCAATACCGATATTTTGATCACAGTTACTTAAGCGCCCCACTTTCTACATTACGGAAACTTTTCATATTTACGTTAGTGCGAAATTCAAAAATGCATTCTACATTAAAGCGAGTGACATAATGATAATATTTGAAATTGGTACTTCATTAATTAATGAAAACACGAAAGTGAATGAAATACTTAAAACTTCCAGTCGCATACTTTCAGTACTTTTAAATGAAACAAATTTCACTTTTAAATTAAACAAGTTTTAAATTTTGTCTTCCTTATTTTTAGTTGAATATTTTTAGCAATAAATTTTTTATTTCAAAACAACTTATTATTTTCTCAATCCTAAACTCTTTAGCTAGGATGATTTTGTACTCTCATTACAAGATAAATGAGCCCTGTGGGAAATGAGCTACCAACTAGTCAGCAAATAGCTAGCTAGTTGCTACCTATGGGTAAAAGACACATTTAAGACATAAAATTCATAGAATACTTGTTTTAGACATTTTGAACACGTCTTTTGTCATCTAGCTATCTTTTACTTACCGGAAGTGTTGTTTTATCGTGACTGGAAGTTTTAAGTATTTCATTTACTTTCACATAAAGAAGACGATAGCACCTGCTATATCATAAGCCTCTACATATATTTTTAATACCGGTAGCCAAACCAATACCGGTATTTTGGTACTTAAAAATAGCATGCTTTTTAATTCTTTATACAAATAGAAATTTTGACATTTCAGTGAAAGTTTGAAAGAACTTGAACTTTTCATTCAAAAGTTATCTTAAGTTATGCTCTTGTTCGATTATTTTTGCACGCTACTGTATATCTATGTAATATAAATATAAAGTCATGCAGTTTTAAGTTCCAGAGAATAGTAAGAGTATGCTTATGTTGTTATGTTGTTGCTATATTGTTTATGTTCTATTATTCAAAGTTCTGTTTTAAGATCTATTTGTTGAAATACTTTTAACTGTTAAATGATTGTAATAATTAGTAAGGTTTGTGTTAAAAGTTTTGCTTTTTAATCACACAGATGAAATTGCTCCGAGACAAGGTAAAGGTGGAAAAGCATCTGATAATCTAGGATCTGGCAAAGCTACTTTGCGTTTACGTTCAAAAGGACCAGCGACTGTTGAAGAGGTTTTTTTCAGATATATTTGTAATTTTCTGCACCTTATGCAGCATTTTTATTGATCATTCTTTAATTTTTTGTTAATGTTATATCTATCATGATTTTATTTTGTTAACATTATACCTATCATGCTTTTATAATATTTTATATAATCTGTAATTAATCTTAGGTACTGAGTTGGGAAGGACCAGCTATAGTAAAAGTTGACGACTTGCTTGAAAAGTTTTTAGGAATTAGAGATCCTGAACTAGGTTTGTTTTTTTCTAGGTTTGTAAATAATAAGAATTTCTAATTATTTGCAAAACATTTTTTAAAAACTGTTTTTTGTTTTGTTTTAAAAACTGTAGAAATTACACATATTTTTATTTATTTCTTAGATAAAAATAAAATTTTAAAACCTCATTTTCTTAAGAGCACTACAATTTTGGACACTATTATTCTTATTATTAATTTCTTTCCTATCTTTGTCAACAACAAAAAACAAACCTAAACACAAAATTCTTATAGTCATGGTTGCTTCATAGAAAATTAAAGATGGACAATGAATATTCATGGAGAATCAAAATGATATTACCTAGTTGAAAGCAGGATTGTGGTCTAAAGCAAATCTAGAACTAATATTTTATACTTCCAAATACAAACTCAAATACAAATATATGTAGTTGATATTTTCCAAAAAAAAATACAAATATTTGTATTTTAAGTAAGAAAAATTACAAAGATTTTTTCAAGACAATAATTACATAATGGTGTCCTAAATAGAAGAATTAAAATAAGTCTTAAGTAATAACAAGTCTTATATAGTAACAGCAAGTTATAACAAGTCTTAAAACAAGTCTTATAATCTCAATATCACTAGAAAACAAATTTCGAATTATTTTTGTTTTAAAAAAAAAAGAACGGCTCTTAGTTTTTTCTAAAAAAATACCAGTCAACTTAGTTCATAGAACTAAAAATACATTTGATCAAGTACAAATGTTTAATATCTTTTTTTGTCAAATACAATACAAATACAAAGACAACAATGTAGCTTACTATTGTTAAATACAAATACATATTTGACCCTGACCCAGGTTAAAAGCATAAAAAAATAAATACAAAAATCATATGAGAATGCCAAGACATAGAAGAGGAAGTTTCATAGTATTACTCTGTGAATTAAAATTTACCAGCTTCTGCAAGTTTCAGAAAAGAGATCCAATTCAAGATAAAATGACTTTTTATTGAAATTGGAATATATAATTGAATCGCCATAAAATAAAAGCACTTTAACAAGTTACTGTCTAATATTTTTAGGAATGTTGTTAATGTAGATAAAAAACAGTATATAACATAGGATGAGATATTATGGTACCCTTAACGCTACTAGAAATAAAGGAAAATCTTGTTCATCATGGATAACAGTTGTGTTTGATAGAAAGTCTTTGTCAAGAGAAAAGATTTTTATTTGTATTCAATTTAGAAAATAGAAAAACATATTAGTTGTCCGAAAGTAAGTTGTTTGATACAAATAAGATATCAAGGTTCAAAAGCTTCACTAATAACTGTGTACACTAACTGAATGATAGGTAAATCAGAGTGGTCTCAGTTTTTTTTAAAAGGAATGACAGATGCTGCTTTCCATCAGATAGCAAAACAAGTTTATAATAAGTTCTATTTAAATATTTAAAATTTTTGTTAAAGAATTTGTTTTTTTGGAATGTCAAGAAGTTGGCACTTATTAGCATTATTAGGTATGTCATAAAGGTGGTACTTATTAGAGTTCTTAGAAATGTCAGAAAGTTTGTACTATCAATTATACTGTAGAATCAAGCAATAATTGGAAAAATATTTCTATATAGGCATTTCAGGTTTATCCTTAGAAGAGTTAATAAGACTTGATTTGTGCATGGGAGACGGGATATTACTATAGCTTTTTTTAACGGTTTGGTAATTATGAAGTTTAGCATCAGAAAATACTTTTTTAAAGATTTATTACTATGATAAATAGAAAAATATTCTTAGAAAAGTTTCTCTGATGAGAAAAGTAGAAAAAATTATTTTGGATGGAAATAGCAACTGTAAAAATAAGAGAAAACCCTGAAAAGTTGTTTTGTAAGGCTTGGCTAGCTTGAAATCTATGAAAGTTGCAGTGTTAGCTATACATACAATGGGAAGCTAATAAATCCTAGCGAATTTCAAGCATAAAAAAGTTTAAAAAGTGAATGTAACATAATAAAAGTAATTTAAATTTTGGAATGATCAGCGTTTCACAGTTTTTTTCCAACATTTTAAATTTTATTTCATTTTAGTTATTTTTTTAATTAAATTTATTTAATTATTTTTAAATTGTTAGCATATTTATTTCTATTATGCGATCATCTACTTAAGTATGTATAAAAAAAGTATATATAAAATATATATTTTACAGCTAACACGCTGATTGATCTTGCGAAGAATATAGAGAATCCTAGTAACTATGCAACAGCTGTTGAAACACAGTTGGGCGATTTCGGATTTCCAGATGAGTTTATTTTTGACATTTGGGGTGCTTACATGGATGCAAAAGCAGGGCGGATATAGGTTTCAAAAAAATGTTTTATATTTTATTAGTATATAATTTTTTTTTTAAGTTTTTTTCTATGATAAAAATTTTGTTTTTAATTCTAAGTCGGAGTTAAAAGTTAGTGAGACTCACTGTATTGTATTATTGTGTATTTTTTCTTTAATTATATTTATATTTATTGCTAAAATGATTGAATTAAATATTTATTAATATTTATTGTACTCTAGAGTTTTATTTTACTTATTTATTAGATTTTTCAATTTTGTTAAAAAAAATAAATTTAATACAATTGTCATAGGTTCTTGTTTGTTTGTTTGTCTTTCTCACAACGCGGGTGCAGCAAACCATATATTCTAATTGCGAAATCACGAAATTATATTCCCCAAGATAATACAAACAAGGCCGTTACTAAGATTCAGGGGGCTCAGCACACAATTAGGGGGTCCTTAGCACGATATATTTTGAAGGTAGTAAACCTAATTGTTATATTTTTAGTTCATTTTTATAAAAGGTTTTTAATGTCTTTTTTTAAATATTTTTTCTTTATCTAATAAATTCATATACTTTAATAAAACGATTAACTATTCAAAAACTTATTAATTCTCATTTAAATCAAATTTAATTAGTTATTATATGTTAAATATAGTAACGCTATTTGTTTCTTTAGTTGATAAGAAAACCTTGGATAACAACTGTTAATTTTTCATGTTTACCATGCCTTAAAAGTTTATAGTTAATAATATAGTATCTACAGACTGAGTGGAAACGTTTTAGTGTTTCGACAAGCAAAAAGACTATTAGTTGCTCATAATACGCAAAACTTTATAAAACGATTACAAACTAAAAGTTTATAATCGTTTGTTGTTGCTTGAAGAGCCACTCGGTTCGTCAAAATAAATTTTATCATACCTACTACAATTATAGTATCTGAATATGATATTGATATTGATCTGAGTGATAGTATCTGAAATTAATCTTAATTCGTTGTGGCTACACTTTTATTAGTCTATCATTTCATTATAATATCAACTTGTATTTTTCTATGACTTGTAAGACAAGTAATCCTATAAGCCATAAGGAATTAAATTTTTCTTATGTTTAACAATGGAAATCCATTTTTTAAATTGCCTTAAACATAAACGTACACAGTTCATAATTTTTTAATAACCTCGTTGTAATACCTTTTTAATAACCTAGTTCAAGCTCTTTTAATAAATTAAGATGTTTTTGTAAATCTTTTATTTTTTAAAGTAAACACTGCAAAGTAGGAGCTAGCTATTATATGTATAAATTTAGTATTTTATATTTAAAAAGTATACTAAATCTAAAAATATTATTTAAATTTTCGCCTAATATATATTTCTAACGTAATAAATGAAGAAATGTCAAATTTTATTTGTAATATGTTTAAGCTAATTCTCCAATATTTTTGCTCAACGTACGTAGCATTTCATAAGTAATGAATTGGTAATTTTAACAGATTATAATTTTGCGAGTGTGTGTGTGTGTGTGTGTGTGTGTGTGTGTGTGTGTGTGTGTGTGTGTGTGTGTGTGTGTGTGTACTTACATACTGTCTAAAAACCTTTTTGATAAAAATGTATAAAATAAATCTTACAATAATTAAATTCCTTACTGTTACTTTTGGATCCATTTTCGACTTTCGAATAAGAAACGTATATAACTTAAAATAAAAAATGTCTACGCGCGTAGACATTTTTTTTTAAATAGACTTGCGTCCGTTTCTAAATAACAAGTTCAATTGCTGTATAAATTAATTTGTCTCTGTTTTCACAACAATTAATTTTTTAAATGTTAATACTTTGGTAGTTAAATTAAAATACCTGTTTATGGTATATCAACTTACCCCTATAATTTGTTTTTAACATATAATAGACGATTTTTCTAAGAGTTATATATACGCTAGTTATTCAAGTAATAAATCGACCGACGTTAAGTTGTACAATCTACGCTAGAAAACGTTTTTTCGTAAAACAATCTTTTTGTGCAACTGTTTAACGACATTTTTACTACTATTAAAAAAATTAAGTTCAAAGTAAAATAAAACACTACACAACTTTAAGAACAGTAAAAATCATGAGCATAGATTGTGCTTATGTATGTACATATAGGGCCGCCGAGAGTTTTCGTGACGCCCAAGGCATAGCAGCAATTAGGCGCCCATGTGAGCATGCACGTTTTTAAATTAAAAGCGTGTACAATTATACAAGTTAATGTCTATTTTTTTATTTGATTTACTGTTAATTAACATCCATATTTTCAAGAACCACATTTAGATTATTATCAAATATGTAGCACATTCACTGATTAGGATGAATAAATTTTTTAAGAAATTAATATTCAAAACGCTCTTTTCTTACTTTTTACATAAATTTGAATTGAAATGCATATAGATTGAAAAATAGCTTATAGGCCCAGAGACGTATTTGTATTTTTGGCGCCCTTGGGCACTAATCCTATAAGCACCCTCTTTTACAATTAACTGTATACTTAAATATAGAGTGATTATTAAAAAAATAAAAACATTTTTAATACATACATAATTATTAATTCAAACTCACTTAACATTAAAAAAAAACTATAATTTTTTATGTGAACTTTGTTTTACAAATGTATTTATAATGCCATTAAAGTTCATATCTATAGTAAGTGCAGATTCTATAGACAGAATTGCTAACCTATTAAGACAAATAGCAGTCATTCTCGACTTCCAATAAGACTTAACCCTCTTAAATGATGAAAATGATCTCTCGGCTGAACAATTGGATGTTGGGCAGCATAGATATATCCTTAATGCTATATCTACTTATAGTAGATATAGCATTAAGGGTAGTTATATAGTTATTAAAGTTTGTCAGTTCTGATCATTTTACAAATATCTATTACAGATCTAGGTCTTATGTTTTTAGTTAAACTTATTAAATAACTTCTGAACTGTATGCACTCGTTAGCAATACTTCAAAGATTATTTTTTATATATATTTTGAATTATTTTTTGTAAACTTTTGATGGTCATAGTTTAATTATTTAAAACAAAAAATTAAGTTTTTTATTGACTTCCTAATAGCACAATTTTTTCTTTTCTAATTCAGAATGTAGTTTATCAATAATAGCATAATATGGATTATTTCTTTAAGAGTCTTGAATTCCGAAAATTTCTTTTCCCTTTGCGTATTTTTCATATGTTTTGTGTCCTGATTTATTAATTGCTTTCCCTCTCTCTTTACATATATCAAACATACTACATAGATCTAATACATATCAAATAAACAATGTGTATAAACTTACAATGTTTCTAAATGATTCTCAGCTAAATGTAACTGTTTACTAGTTTTGTTAAAGCTTTTTATCACCCTATAATGTGGCCATTATAACCGTTTTAAGATCCAATAACTTCTAATCTTGTGATTGAATTTTGTGGTTTATCATTTTTGATAAAAGGCAGTGCATTAATTATTTTATTCTAATTTTTGTTTAAACTAATACTTGCAGTAGATCTTGCTGACCACCAGGTATCTGATAGTTTTTTAAGTGATACGTTTTCTGTTTTAATTAAATTGTTCTGAAGAATTTCTAATCTATATGTAGAACCACAGAAATTTTTACAGATATCTTGAAGCAAAATAAAAATTTCGGAAACGTCACTGCAACAGTTTACAGCGCATTCACCAATAACATTTAAAAAGTGTGACAAGCATGGTAGAAATGTAGCTGAATGATTCATTTCTTTAATGCGAGCTTGAAGTCCTGAATACTGACCAGATATGTTTAATGCATTGTCGTAACCACGACTATTGTTTGTATTTAACCCATGCAATTTAAAACTAAAAATATAGCATTTGCTAATTCTTCAGATTTATGAACAGAGTTGGGTAAAAACCCTAAAATTCTTACAATCGGACAGTCATTCTTTTGAACATACCAAAAAATGAATGCAGTTAATCTACATGGCTAATATCAGAAGTAGAATCAATACTGATGGAAAAATATTTAATTTTTTTGTATTGTAATGGTAGATAATTTTATACAACCATATATTGTATAAAATTATCTATCATTGTACCTATGAACTACTCATACATATTAAAGGATAGGTACAATCCTCTAAAATGGATAGGATCCTCTAAAAAAAGAATCAAACTTACCAACGTGACTTTTTTTTACCAAATCAACGTTTTCTCATGAATAATTCGCGCATAGTTTTGTATAATTTGCAAGTGGAGTTTGATAGCCTTTTAAAACCATACTTTTTTCTGCCAACCATACACATTTATAATTTTTATAAAGATGAAATTCCAATTTTAAACATCCTCGTTTAAAAAAAAAAATATGCGCGCGTATACTTGTAGGCAGATAAGCAATTAATTGAAAATTTAGTAAGTCAATGTGTCGACCTATGATTTAGACATTATAATATAAAAAATTTCTTGATAATGATATAAAATAACAAATTAATAATTTTCTAGGTTTCAACTATTCTGACGGATGGCGCTCTATCAAAACTTGGCGCCTGGTCTAAAAGCCCCTCTAGCCACCCCTTCCGTAAATACTTTCTTTGTATAGAGGCCCTTTGAGTATTTTTGGTTGAGAAAGCCTAAAGTATTTCCACTAATAAAAAATGAAGACTTTTTTAAACTATTAAAATGCAAAAATCTTCTATAAAGTTGTTTTCGATTTCATATACGTTAATTTATACCGATTTCATATACGTTAATTTATACCGATTTCAAACCTTTTAACCAAGAATAATAAGAATCTTAAATAAACAAACTAAAAATTAACTAAAATGTTTAATATATTAATATTGTAAATAGTACGTAAAAAAACAGAGTTATTATAGGCAAAGATAGTTGTCGTTTTTTACAAGCTATTTCGGCATTATGACATCAATGGCAAAAATGATCGGAAAATCTGATGGATCAGGCGATGTTGTTGTGTGGCTGAAAAAAGTCAAGCTGGCTGGAGAGCTTCAAAAGATGGGCGATCTGTCGTTAATAATTACGTTGTTTCTGGAAGGAGATGTATTCGCCTTGTATGAGCAACTTAGCGATAACAAAAAGCCTGCGCCGTGGATGACTAAAAAGCTTTGTTGGATGCGTTTGCGGTTATTCTTTTCGAAGCCTACGAGCTGTTCAGGTATCGAAGATGGAACGAAGGCAAATTCGTTGATGTATATACGGCCAATTTGCTTTAACTTATGCGGCTGGCCAAAGTTGAAAACGAAGAATTGTTATAACGAGCTTGTCATAACTGGATTGCCTGGTGAAATTTCAAAGCAGCTACAATCGCAAGTCAAAATATTCGGGATCAACTTGAAGGATGTTTTGAACCACGCAAGAGTACTTTTGTCAAAAGCGAAAGAAGAATGTCTTTCAACAACAATCTCTGAAAGTTATAAAAACATTAACAGAAAGCAGGTGTTAGTGTCAAAAAAACGAATTCATGGATATTATTAATCGTTGTGGAAGAATGCACCAATACGAAGGAAAAATTGAATTTGGTTTTGTTTCAATTCACATGAAAAAATAAATTGTAGTTATAAAGGACAAGGACTTTGACGCTAACTTTGATGGCATGAAATGGACTGCTAAATATAAATGGAAACAAGATGAACCGCAACTGAATAATTTTGTCTCGCTGTACAAAGTAAAACCCATGTTGATACATCAACTTAACGAAGAGATGGACTTGTGGGTGGAAAATGGTTGGTTGAAACCATGTAAAATAAATGAAAATAATAAACAAGAAATTATCCCGCTTAGTGTCAATTTAATAAAAAAATAAAGGGAAGAGACAACCTGTTTTGGATTTTCGCAAATTGAACCAATACGTTAATTTGCATTACGCCTCAAGTGATGCCTGCGATGAAACATTGAGAAGATGGAGAAGAGTTTGTGAAAAATTTGCACTACTTGACCTCAGATGCGCCTACATGCAAATACACATTGATCCGATTTTGTGGAAGCATCAAAGGATAGTCTACAAAGAGATGCAATACAACCTTACACGACTCGGATTTTGGTTAAGTTCTGCACCAAAGATTATGTCGTCAATCTTAGGCAAAGTGCTAAGTCTTAATGCAGGTATTAGTGAAGCAACTGATCATTATATCGACGATATAACCATTGATTTGAAAAAGACATCAGTTAAAAATGTTGTAAACCATTTAGAACGGTATGGTTTGTTAACAAAAGAGCCAGAGGAATGTGATGATTCACGAGTTTTGGGTTTGCAAATATTCAGAAACGATAAAAAAAGTATTTTGTCGGAAACGCGGCAATACCATTCCAAAGTCAGAATACATTGAAAATGAAAAAATAACATGACGAATATTCAAGTGCCCACATATTGTTTTTAATATATGGGCACTTGATTGGATCCTATCCAATTGAAAACTGGCTCAGAATTGCCAGCAGTTTCACAAAACGTTATAGTTAAAGAGATGCTTGGGATGATCTAATAGGAGATTAAGCACAGTCATGTTTGGTCGAAATATTGCACCATTTGGAAGCTAGTAATCCTGTAAAAGGGACATGAAATGGTGATGGTATTCAAAATGGAACAATATTGTGGTGTGATTCTAGTAGTATTGTCATGGGTATTGCAATCGAATATAACGGCGTAATAGTTGAGGATGCAGCATGGCTACGAAGTATAAATGATGTCATGCATATTAATATGGCTGAATTAGAGGCTGTGGTGCGTGGAATAAACCTAGCTGTTAAGTGGAACATCAAGAACCTATCAATATTTACCGATTTGGTGGCTGTTCATGGATGGTTAAAAAGTATGCTGACTGAAAGTCATAGGGTTCAGTTATATGGACTATGAGAAATGCTAATCAAAGAAGACTTTCATTATTGCGTGAATTAATAAAGGAATACAGCATGAACATCATGGTGAAGTGGGTTTCGTCCTCAAAAAACAAAGCAGATGTATTGACAAGTGGTTAAATGAAATTTCACGAAAAATAGTCAAAAAATTATGTGGGATAAGTATTACCAATAAAATTCGTAAATGTCATTCAAAGCATCATTTTGGCGTTAATCGAACAATGTTTACAGTACAACAAAGAATCCCGCAAGTGTCGAGAAAAGATGTTGAAGACTGTGTGCGCAAATGTTATCAACGTAGTTCAATTGATCCAGCACCAATAAAATGGAAAAATGGAGTGCTAGATGTACCAGATACATAGTATCGTATTGCATGTGACGTGACTCATTATAAAGGGTCACCTTACCTAACATTGGTTGACTGTGGACTAAGTCGATTTGCAGTACGGAGAAAGATATTACACGAAGATACCAAAAGTATATTAATTCCGTATTTTGGGAGCATGGCCCGCCACACAAATTATTGATGGACAATGGAGCTGTGTTTAGATCAAATGAGTTTTCAAACATTTGTCCAAAATGGTGTGTACAAAAGATGTATAGATGTGCATATAGACCATCAGGAAATGGAATCGTGGAGCGTAACCATCGCTCAGTAAAACGCACTTCTGCGAGGGTACAGATATGTCCGTTAGAAGCGGTATTTTGGTATAATGCAACACCAATGATTGGAACGAAAGAAGGCTCTACATCTGCTTCTATAAAAAATAAGTACGTCTGGCGTCTACCTACTCACGGGGAGAACAATACAGAAGGTCATGAAAGATCACAAAAGGTCTCGGCAACCTATAGAATTGGAGATCAAGTTTACGTTTGTCCTGTTGGTGCAAAGTGCACGATGATTTGAAAAATTGGTAATGTGACCAATATACTCTCAAAAACAAATATTGAAATTGATGGTGTACCACGACATGTGAGAGATGTGAGAATGGTTCCTGAATCATATGTTAAGAAAGTTTTAAGAAAAAATAGTGTTGAAGAAAATGAAAGCGACGAAAGTGAATTCGACGATTTCCATATTGCAAGAGATGAGGAAGTCAAAGAGTCAGTTGCCGACGAAGAGACAGTTTTCAAAGAGTCAGTTGCTGACGAGGAAAATGACGGTATTGAAGTCATGGATAACTTATTACCATTGCTCAGACGTTCAACTAGAGAACGGAGAAGGCCGACATATTTAAATGACTATTTACCTTTAGAACTTAGTTCTTGGGGAGATGTTAATAGCTAATTTGTAAACGCTATTATAATTTAATAGCGTTTACAAATCCTTAGTGTAAATATGTTGTTATTTTTCTTTGTATCTAATTTTGTACTTAATTATCCCAAGTGAATTTTTGTTAATTACGAAAAATGTATAAAAGTTGTAAATAGTACGTAAAATAACAGAATTCTTAAAGGCAAAGATAGTTGTCGTTTTTTACAAACTATAACATTATTAAATAGTTTTTGCAATAACCAACTTGCAATACTTTGCATTTCTTGACTTTGAAATTCACAAGGCAGTTGTGGGACCAATATTCAACGCATTCGGTGTCCGCTTCCAGTTTTTTATAGTCAGAGAAAAGTTAATTTACATTGATAACTCATATGAGCTTTCCATCATCGGCGTATTATTTGCTATGGTTATAATTGCAGTATGGTAAGTCATTGATAAAGAACAAAAATAGCAGTGATGCAAGAACTGATCCTTGAAGAACGCGAATTGTCACCCTTTTCCACTCGGACGTTTATTCTCCAGTTACTAATCATTGTTGTCCATTAGCTAGCCAACTAGAGATCCAGTTTAATCCAGTTTATTAATAACTTTTCGCTATGCATTATGAGATTGCCTGGTAAATAAGAAAGTATAAAAATCAAATTTCCGATTACAACTTTATTTATTAACTTTGTTTATTGTAGTTCTTACTAGTTTAAACTTTTGAAATTTATTAATGGATTCAAAGACAGAATGTTTTGAAGATGATTACGAAAATTTATTAAAGGTTATAATGAACCCAATGGGCACAGGACCAAAAAAAGACGTTTTTTAAACGTTCAAAAAACGTCCAAAACGTGTATAAGACGTTTAATAGACGTCTTTTTACGTCCGTGCCTACTGGGAATGAGCTTTCTGCAAAAGGTCTAAAACAAACTAAATATTTCTAAACGGAAGCTCAGTGACCTTCAATATTTTTTAAAATTATCGAAGAGCTATCATGGTTCTAGTAATTTAAATAAAGAAAAATTATTAGAAAAAGTTATTTACGTTCGGAATATTTTAAATGTCTCAGGCAATATCAGAACTCATTGCGATTTTAAAGTTATCAAATAGTCTATTGAAATATGTTTTTATATTCTGCACCGATATTTAAAAGTAAATAAAATTGTTACCGAAGTTAAATTTAGTATTACCGGCGAGGCATCTAAATATTAGTTAAGAACAAGTTGAGCGAGTTAAACAAATAATTTACAACAAATTATATAAATGCTTAACAAATAATAAATATCTTAAAAGATTGCTGATATATTCATTGCTGATAAAGTAAATTATTGAATGTTATTTAGATGAAAGATTTTTAACTTTTAGTGAAAATATTGGACATAAAAGTGAAGAACTGAAAAACAGTATTATAAACATTCTTTAAGAATATTATTTGAATATAAAAGGCTGTAGAGGGCTATCATAGGATAACGCGTCTAATATGGGAGGAATCTATAGTTGACTATAAATTTTCTTCTTTTAAAGTGCGTTTAAAAGAAGAAAATGACCTAGCTTTTTACATCTCATGTGCACCGCATTCCTAAAGTTTGATTAGCGAATCTGCGCAAATCGTTGTTTCGAAGCGACAAGATTATTGCACCTGCAAAAAAAAATTTTTCAGCATCAACAGGACAATAGACAATTCTAAAAGGTTGTTTAAAATCATCATAAGGAAAAGTTGCAAAATTTTTAGATTTAAGACACGCCGGTCGGCTAATCGTGAAGCTGTGAATACGATGGTTAACAGCTAAAATTGTTTTATTTTAGCAATAGATGAAATATTATAAGATTCTACTCAAAAATCATTCATAGAATTAAAAGCAAAAAATCTATTCATAAAATAAAAAACATTTATAAAAATTAAAAACAGAAAACTTATCAAAAATCATTCATAAAATTAAAAGCAGAAAAAAAACAAATGAGATTTTTCAAAACTGTTTTTATGTTAGTGTTTTGAAATGGTTTACAAACTACTAATAGTATTAATATAACATTCAAAAAAGTCGATATTAATATTGGAGGCGTTTCTACTCTATATAATTCTTTATCAATATATTTAGAAAATTAAAGAGCTGAAGATAAACAAAAGGGCATCGAGTTATCAGGAAATTAAAAATTTAAAAGTATAAGAAATATTAAAAGAAAAAAACAATTGGTGAATTTTCGGCACATCATACTAATTTTAAAATCTTTTTTTGGTGATGATTTTTGGAAAAATACAATTTAGACCATAATTGATCTTTATTTGAAGTCAGAAAAAGAGAATTTGCGCGTATGAGAACATATTTAAAATATATATTGCAAAAATACAGATTATATTCTTATACGAAAAAAAGTTAAGTTATTATGCAATACGTACACAAATGATTTGTTTAATATAATTGACGAATGTTTTCATGTCAATCACATAAATATAATGAACAAGACCCAGTTTCTAATAATCACGAGCTTTCATTAAAAGCAATTATAAAGCACTTTAGTTATAAGCATTTCATTATAAATTTGAATATCTAATCAACATTTTCTAATTTGACAACAGCGTACATAATATTTTTGACAATCCCTGTACTGATTGCTCGATGGAACATTTTTGGTAAATATTAGACCTGCAATCAAAATTAAGTAAATTAAACATTTTTTTTTATGTCTGTCCAATTATTAATAAATTTGCTCAAACAAAAGAGAGATAGAAAGTTATTTTTTAATACATTGTTTCAATTAAAGGGATAATTGGTTTATAGCCCCATAGGTCGCTTATTGGTTTATAGCTCACGGAGCCAAAATTGATAAAAACGGTTCTGTCAATTAGTCACAATTAAGATTAATTACAGATGAAAGTAACTTTAAAGTTACTTAAGATTAAATGTAGAGTTTTTCAGAAATCCATTTTAGCTCAATAACTGTTTTTAATATACAAATAATGATTTAAAAAACCAAGAATATTCTTTTCCATTACAAGCAAAGAATAAAAAAAAATTTACTAATCATGTTACCATTGCTAAAAATTGAAAATAAAAATATCCAGAGAATCATGATGACTAAATTTCTAGAGATAACTGTTGATAAGAATATTTTATGAAAAGTGTATGTAGACTTCTTAAATAGTAAAATAGCATATAGCTTTGACTTATTAAATACTAAAATAACAAACAACATGCTCAGTAATGCTAGACTAACGCTATCCTAAAAAATTCAAAATAATAATGTCTTATTCATACAGAATAATTAAATATATGGCATTGTAGCATGATATTGGATCCGATTCGGATGCATTTTATAGACATTTAAAACATACCGGAAGAATAACACTATATGCGCAGATTTTTCTCCGTGTGTTCTGAAAACAAACAATAATTGCAATTTGAATGGATAAAAAAAGGCTCTAGGTTTGCAGATGTACTGCTTCTCACTTTGACAATTTAGCCTTCAATTGTCTTTGATAACAACCTAGCGGACACAGAATGTCCGTTGGACGTCTTAAAGACATTCTACAGACTTGTGACGTCCATAAGACATCAAATTAACGTCCCACGGACGTCTGTGTTTGCTGTGAACGTTTAATACAATTTAATGAGTAGATCTAAGTAAGATCCCATGAGGATGGGGGGGGGGGGGCAATTTGTCCTAGGCGGCAGTTCCACAAAATAAAACGCATTTAACCAAAAACCAATTTTATAACTTACCTCTAAGACTTTTCTTGCAAAATTTGGATATAAAATGTGGTGCCCAGGACCTATCTGTCCGACAAGCATGTCGTTCTGTCCAACACACATGGGTTTATCTGTACTTTTTCTTGTTGTGATAAATCAAAACGCGATGAATATTTTTATAAATTAATTATTTTCATAAATTATTCTTGTTCTCATCAGCTGTACTTTTTTCTGTAAATACCTACTGTAAAGAGCTTTTGACCTCTTGAGACTTTTTGAGATTTGATCATTCAAGTGTCTGCCATAAAAGCAGACTTATTTTATTTTTTTGTATTACATGGTTTTTAAATCAGCTTTTAATTTTTCAAACTACTGCAAAAACAATATGTTTTTGTTTGAAATAATTAAAAACTGGTTTATAAAAACATTTATAAAAATAATCTCGTTACATTAAAATAAGTTAAAATGAATCGTAAATATACGTAACTATAATATACATTCGTTATGCTTGTGTTTAATTACTGCTAAGATATGGTATAAAAAGCAATTATATGAAACTATAATTATACAAATTAATCTATATTTCTTTAGATCCGTTTGTAAGCATTAATTGGCAAAAATGAAGAATGTTCAAATTATAAAGTTAAGCCTAATTTTTTGAACGTATAATTTAATCATTATATCTGCTTATAATATCTACCTGTTCCGATAACTCTATTATGCTAAACATTTAAAAATGCAACATAGTGTATTTGCACTTTTTTTGAAGAAAAAAAAAAGTAATAACGGGAAAAAAAAATTTTATCCACAAAAATTGTTTACGGAAGTTATAAATTGACGTATTACAAGGAAAACTGTCTGATATTATTTAATGATACAGTGTTAAATATAAATGATTACTTAAATTATTACAAAAAATGAATATGAGTTGTTTCGTTTTGAAATTGAAGAAATATATTGCTTCAAAGTAAATTTATCTGTTCTTAATTGAGTTTGTTCTAACTTTTGTTATATAACATATAAATACTACATTGTTCAAGCATACAATATAGCACACAATATTGTTTTAAAATACAAATTCTAATTGTTAATAATTTGTTTTTTAACCACAAACAATAAATTTATTTACTAGAATCCGATATGTATATAAATTATAGAGAGAATTTTTTAAAACAGCTTTTGTACGTTAAAAAAATTAGACTTACTTAGTAGATGAAAAACAAAAAAAAAATGAGTACGTACGAGATGTATGAGATGATCATATCAATATACAATATGTAATGTAACTTCAAAGATATATACATACATACATACATACATACATACATACATACATACATACATACATACATACATACATACATACATACATACATACATACATACATACATACATACATACATACATACATACATACATACATACATACATACATACATACATACATGTATATTTCTTTTTTATGTTATATTGCTCAGCTGTTATTGTATTTTCTTCATATAAATTATAATAATAAATTGTGAAAAAAAATTTTAAACTTAGTCGTTGACGCTAATGCTTAAAAAAATCTAATTTGATTTTATGTAAGTTAAGTATTATTGTGAAATTATAGAAAATGTCAAATAACAAGGATTCGAATGTTAAGAAAAATAAGTTAATTAGAAGTAGAACAAAGCATAAACATTTGGAAGAACACTACGATGACCATCTCAATGAAATTCTACCAGGTAACCTTCATCGTGGTGATATAGTGTCATCTAATCGAATGCTAGCATATTCTGATGCTATCATGGCTACTTGTGCAACTTTTCTTGTACTTCCTTTAAGAAATTTAGAAGGTCTTAAAGAGAATCAACCGCTGTTTGACTATGTCCAATCAATTCACAAAGAGTTTATTGTGTTTATAATTGGATTTCTAATTGTTCTTACAATTTGGGAAAATATAAACATTCGAGGTCTTGTTATTAAACGAGTTGACGATTTTATGCTGACTCTAGTTATTTTAGAGATGTTGGTAACTACAATCCTTCCCTATTCGCTGGCTCTTCAAGAACATTATCCGCATGAAAAGGTTGCAATTGTAATAACTTGCTCTGTTTTAGGCGTTCTTCAAGTAATTGATATTGTAATCATATTATACGCCACGCATTCGCCTAAAATGCTGCATGTTGATTTGAAAGACTGGGTAAAGTCTGATCTTCGAGAGCTGACATTAGTAATGATCTTTAGACCGCTAATTAGTTTATTTATATTAACACTGGCTGGTGTGTTGTGCTTAGTCCACTACAGTGCATCTTGGGTTTTTATTGCTATATTTACGTTTATGCCAACAATTGGTAAAGTTTATTGGTTTGCTCGTCGGCGAATGAACAAATTTGAAGAAACAGAAAAAGATTCGTTTTTATTTCATTTTTCAAAAGGCAATGTATCCAAAGAACGCGTTGAAATTATGAGCGATGCTGTTTTTGCTATTGTTGCCTGTATTCTTATACTCGATATTACTGTCGAAGAATTTCCAGATAAATTAAATGTTAATGAAAATTCTCTCAATTTTGCGTTAAACCACATGAAATTGGGATTTATGACGTTTCTTGGAACGTTTAGTTTTGTTTCAGCTCTGTGGTACATTAACCACACAGTTCTTCATTTGTTAAAACATGTAAACTCAATCATAATCTATGTTCAAAAATTGTTCCTTGTACTTTGTTGTCTTTGTCCAATTGCTGCTAACATGCTTTCACATTTCGCTTCAAAAGGAGATCATGACTCCGTTATTGCAATACGTTTTTCTGCATTAGTTGTGTTTTTATCAAGTATTGCTAACTTCTCAATACTATTATATGGCTTACTTTCCAAAAATAAATATATGCATGACTGGGCTTCGCTTGAGTATGTTCAGTTAAACACACGTCAGCACTTGTATACTTTAGTGAAGTCACTGAATATGCCATTTTGGTCATTAATTTGTATTTTAGGCACTTTTGGTTTATCTAGTGCTGCTCCTTATGTTTTGTATTCTTCAATCATTGCTGCATTGTGCACTTTTTTTGTCTCAAAGTTTATTCTTATGAACCATGTGGGTAAAACGACTGCTTCCTACACAATACGTAAAACTTCATCTTCTGAAATGATGCTCCCGAGAGACAGCACTTCAAGTGAGGATGTTCTATTTGAAATTAACAAAGAAGACGCCTACCCAGCGGGCACTGAATAACCATAAAATAGAATTTAAATTATGGAACTGTTATAAACGTATAATAGGTTTAGTTAACTTTAGTTAAACATTAAATTAGGTTAACTAAAATAACCATACAAATTTGTGTAATTTCAATTAACTTATCGTGTAAATTTTTATATGCGTTTTAATATTAAAATTTTAATATAATTTAATCTACAATACCTCTTTGCGCGTACATCTGATTATTCTGCGAAGACTGTTGCACATATGACAACTGAAGTTTTTTATAGGCCTGAATACCTTAACAATAGATTTCGGAAGCACGTTAAGACTTCATTACAAACAATAGCATTTACAAGTCTTACTTGTACAAAAACTATACCAATACTTTTGGAAAAGGGAAAATAACGACAATCCGCAACATAGTTAAAGAATCAAAAGAAATTGAACAACAATTAGAACACAGTTACCTTTTTGATATTATGCAATATTTGTCAAAGCTGATCAAGTGCAAATTTCATAAGTGCAGACTCACATAAGTGCGAAGCAGTTGCAAAACTGACATACGTGATTACAAGCATAAGTGCAAATTGGCATAAGTGCACCATATATATATATATATATATATATATATATATATATATATATATATATATATATATGTATATATATATATATTGTAAATTATCTAGCACATGTATTATGTGGTTGCAGGACACGTTGTCAGAGTCCTTCATATTTTATGGACCTGTATGTCCTTTAGATCATGTATCACCGTTCTAATAAATTTTAGTTTAATTTAATCTTATCTGATAGTTTCGAATCACTCCCCCTCCTTTGTAAAAGTTATTATGCTTTATTGAGTTCTACATCCCCTATAATCAATCAACTAATTTGTAATTCCTTAAAAATTTAGTTGGTTTTAAATGCGATAATATTTTAAAATTCTTAGCTGCTCTTAGTTAACTAATTAGTACATAAAATCACATATTATTTTGGAATACATATACTATTTTTTGTTATTCTATAGTTCTATCTAAAATTTTATCTATTAACAACAGACAAATAACTTTTTGTAAATTAACAGTGATTAAATGGATTAATAACCAAAGATTTTTTAATTTTTATTAAATTACATTAAAAAATTACATTAAAATTTTAATAATTACATTAGGAATGAGTTAGTTTAGCGGTTCAGTTTCAAATTTGGAAAGGATTTTTTAGATTTAAAATTTAAAAAATTATGTAGCGTTACAAAATGAAACAACTCCCTAGTTTGTGGACAACCCTTAATTGACAATTTAGCGAATTCCATTCAAAGTTATAAACAAATGTCCGTAAAAATAGCTGTTTGGTATACTATGTAATATATATTAACTGCAGTGTGTTTTTATGTAGTTTTAATTTTTTTAATTTTTCTAAAATAGTATTTTAGAAATAGTATTGAAACTGCTCAATTGAATATTACTAAAAAATGTAACTGCAGCAATGATCACTTTTTCAATTTAATTAACTGCTTATACAACTCAAATAATCCACCAATATTCTTTTTGTTGCGTAAAGTTCGTCATTAATTTTTTTTATCTTACAATACAGATCTTAAAGTTACATACGTTAAGATCAGTATTGTAAGATAAAAATAATGTAATACACTTTCCAAAAGTTTTTCGTAGCAATTGTGGAGGAAGAATTGACACAAAATGTGGTTTAATTTCTCCTAAAACAAATCTTTTCATCGTTTCAAAGCAGCTTCTTGGAAATTAAACGCTAACAATTGTGAAAACAAGCATTCTATTTCAAAGAAGATTCAAAAAATTTCAAATAATATTTAAAAAGTAAACAAAAGCTTTTAGAAAATAAAAACTCTCCAAAACATTTCTTGGAGAAATATTATCGGAAAGATCAATATACCAGAATATATTTATTAAATAGAGTATTTATAACTTAGTTAACAGAAAATTTGAAGACAACAACGAAAATTTTTTTAAATGACTGAAAAAAGAATTTAAAAGGTCCGCTAAGGTCCGTGGATGTAAAAATATAAAACCATGCAATGCCGGCGCGATAGGGGGACAACCCCCATCAATGATTTTTAGTCGGCAAATTTGACCCTTTTTGACTAGTTAGTAGGCAAATGTCGACTCTTTTGATATAGGTTAGTCGGTCATTTAGACAATTAGTCGGCAAATGTCGTCATGATAGTCGGCAAATTTTGGAAAACGTGGACATTTTTTTTTTTTTTTAAGTCAGCGAAAGTTGTAATAGCACCCCCCACGTGACATCTACTCGCGCCGGCCCTGAAACCATGCCATAAATATGCCGCATATTTCTATTTTCAAAAAGAATTCTTTTATATTAAATTTAAAATAATAAAGAATTCTACACTTGTCGTCAAAGTTATTGCTGTGTTTGTGTTTTTTAAAATGTTTAAAAGGTTTGTTAAAAATTAGTTTAAAATATAATTACTATTAAATCAAATTAGTTTTATTGTAGAAGAGATTTTTATTGTAGAAGAGATATAATACATTTATTAGCATCATTAATTTAATATAATAGTTGTTATTTTTTAAACTAATTTTAACAACTAAATTATTATATTGGACTCTTTTACTAAACTTTTACTAAACTTTAAATTTAGTATGAAAGTATAAAAGTATATGCGTAAATATTAACTTTAAATTTAGTATGAAAGTATAAAAGTATATGCGTAAATATAAACTTTAAATTTAGTATAAAAGCATTAGAGTAAAGTTACTTTTTCAGAAAAACTTTTGTTTAAAATTTTTATAAAAATAAGTAACTTACGCATTTACTTTTACACTTTCATACTAAATTTACTATTATAAAATAATATTATTTTACAAGTAAATTTACTTATAAAGAAAAGTTATGTAAATGTAGATTACAAAGTTATTTATTTTATTACAAAGTTAAAGTTTTACGTTAATTAGATTTAAAATTACCCCGGTGGGAAATCAGCTAGCGAGTAGCTAGCTGTAACCGTAACGATAAAGACAGCGGTTTGGCCACGAGGACAGCTAGCTTAAAAAGCTAAAGACCCACTGGCTACTGTACCTAGCGTTATATCGTAATAAAATCTGTGTCAAAAAAAATTTGATATGATGAGAAAAGGCGCACACTTTACTTTAAAGTTTCATTATTCAGTATCCTGAAGACCAAGGTTAAAAGTTTTAATATAGATACATTCTTTGTTACATGCAGAACAATAATAATCCTAGGAGTTTTCATCAGTTTTTCTTTTTTATTAGTTATTTTTATTTAAGAAAAAGGCACAAGTATGCCATCATAGGCAACTACTGCTCCTATGATAGCATAGAGGAGGATAGGGCTGGTTAGCATCAAAGGTAACTTAAAAATTTCATTTGAAGTTAGAGTTTTCCCTCAGAAATGTCAGAAAATGCGCGTAATCATCCTAATTAACCCGTTAGTGCTACACAGCAGCAGTTTAGAATTTTGCGCATGCGCATAAGAGATATTGCGTTTAATGTGTTTTTTGAACCAAAATTTTTTTTACTAAAGTAAAAATTCCTTTTTAACTCACTAATAAATATGTTGTTTTTATGAAAGAAAAGGTTTCTTAACTTGCCAATACTGCAATCTAACTTGTCAGTATGCCATCATAGGAAGAAGTCATCATTTTCATTTAAACAAGCCATTTCTGCCTTTTTCAAAAGATAAAATTAAAATAAGTATTCCACTAAATGCACAAAACTTGGAAATAAAATGCATGAAAATTTTATTTCTGCACAAGTAAATAATAAAATCAAAATCTTAAATATTTAAAGGGATTAAAAATTCAACAGCGCATCCCAAAGTCGATTTTTGTTGATTATAAAAGGAATATTTGTGCATAAGAGACGTATTTTTACTAAAACTAATATAAAGTCAGTATAGACATAATGGTCTAAGCACTTTTTCGCCATAACCAATATTTATGAAAATATGACCGGTATGCCATCATAGGCGCCTTTCCCCTAGCTATCAACCAGCTATAGATTTGTAGATATTTTGTAGCTAGCTACAAAGCTACGATATGTAGTTAGCGACACATTGCTACAAAATCGCAATGTTTAAAGTTCAATTAATCTCATAGTTGTAATAGACTTAAGACTAAAAATCAAATTTTTAAAAATGTTTTTAAAACATTTTAAACAGGAAAAAGTAAAATAAGAAAAAAAAAATCGCCTAAAATCGCTATAAAGATAGCTAGTCGCTAGCTCATTTCCCACCGGGACGTTACTTAATATAATTTTACTTTAGAATGTAATTGTCTTTTACGTAAAAAACAAACTAACACATATTTAATGTTTGTTTTTTAAACGTAAAAGATAAAGGTAATAATTAACTTTATCATACGATAAAATCTTACCTAATGTTAACCTAATGTTATGTCGAATTATACCGAACGTAAATAAAACCGTATAGTAAGATAAGTTTTCCTATAAGTAGAAAGACAATCTATTATTAAGTTTAATTTACACGTAAAATGAAATGCTTAAAAAATTAAATTAAATATAAAATTGTTTTAGATAACGTAAGTTATAATTTTAAATAACTTTTAGTTACAATTAAAAATAGTCTTTATTTTAAAAAGTAAATAAGTTTACTTTTGTTCTACAATTTCTTTGAAAGATATTGCAAGATATTCAGTAATTCAAAGTCCATTTAGTTCATTTTGGGTCTTTTTTTCCTGTTCAGCTTATATCAATAAAAAGTTCCCGCTATTGTGTGTCCGGTCAGCTTATATCAATAAATGACTCCAGCCATCCGTGATCATATTGGCAACTAAAACCATTCTCCCGGCCCATGAATAATTGGGCCGAGCAAATTGCATTTGTTGAAGCAAATGTAATTATGTTTTTCATATATGAAAACTATTCTAAAAGCCAAACCGTCTTAATAGAACAGATTAAACAACGAAGGTATATAACAAGGGCATATGAAAACAATTTATTATGAAGCCATTTAAAAAAATCAGCATTTTAAAACTGAGGACTTTTTCTTTAAAAGAGTTT